ATGGTTGGAGCGCCTTCGCTCCCATAGGATGATGAAGACAGCGTTGATACGATTAACAAGACGTCGACTATTATATGCCTGTCGTTCACTTATTCTTTTGATCTCAATCTTCGTCATCGTACGAGAACAAACCTCCTCCGATTACGTGCGCCATGGGCTTAGGATCGGCTGTCTTGGTCCAGTGACTCAGCTAAGAAAGGGTGAAAGAAAGCACGGTCGAAGCTTCCGCACGAAGGAAGTGGCGTCTCAAGTCGAGTCTCACGCACTCGCCCATTCCAGACTTGGTTAGCTTTTTCTTACCCAGTCCTATAGCTAAGACGCTGTTTGCAGCAAGCCGACCTTGTACGTTTGACAAAGGCTCTATCGATAAAAACGGCGTACCATAATGATTTACACATTAGGTATTGGTGCCGATACCGGCTACTTAAAGATCGGTAGATATGTCCACTTTTTCTACATTCTCCCTCTGAAGCCCAATGCGCTTGCACCCTCTGTGGGGCGGTCTTTCCATGCCCTGCAAAAAACATTTCTTAAAGGGCATCGCGTCTCTGCCTGGACAGCAGCTTAAAGCTTCTAAATGACCACGAAATGGCGCCTTATTAAGTATGTATAGAACCCCACATTTTTTAGTCTATTTTCCAGGAATGAACGATTGTTTTTTGTGCTGGCACACTTCGGTGATGATAATGATGGTGATGATGATAATATTAGAGATAATAACATTATTTTTTAATCAATATACGTCATTTGAAGACGTTTACTAGTGCAACACATTCTTCCGCTCATCAAATTTGCAACTATATTTTAGACGAATATGGTCAGTTACTGCCGGTTTTCTGAACGACACACGTTTTATAATATCACGATTTAAATTGTGATTTTTTCAGAGTGATTAACATTATACCACATTGGTACCATGTAATTTCTAACTAATTTTTACCGTTTTACTGTCCATAACTTGCTGTTCACATGCGCATCTCCCTTGAATAGTCCATCGGGAAAATATACTACAAGCAGGCGACAAGCTTCGCCGAGCGGCGCTCACTCCGCGCTTGGCGTCAAGGAGAGAAAGATTGGTTTATTGAAAATACGAAGAGGATGATCGAACGAAATGATACAGGGAGGTGTGATGATTGCTCAAGCGAGATATATTCTGTTACGTGAGCCTACCTATCGCAGTATAACCTATTTGCAGGCAGTGCTGCTATGTTGCCTTTTAGGGCTTCACTGGTAGCAAGTCCCGTGTATTTGGTAAGCATTGGGGTTGAAAAACACGCTATTTACACAAATTAGCATAACTTTACACGTTGAGTAATGAATATTTCGTTCAAAAATTATGCCAGGTTGTAAAAAAACGTGTTTTGGTTCGGTCATACACGCATAGCCGTGTAGCCGACCTCGAAAACAGGCCTCACCCCCGACGACGACCGCAGCACTGCCGGCTATCGAAGCACCGGAATGCTTGGGGACACACCGAGAAAGGACCGTGGAGACAGATGAAGCGGAAAAAAACATTCCTCGGAGACAGATATAAACCAAAAGGAATTATGCCATGTAACGAGACGGGGCGAAGCCCGCGTTTGTCGCGCGCTGCCATTGATTCTGGTCGATGGCAATGCGGCAGATGCTGCTTCCCTCATGTCGCCCATGTTTGAGGTTATTGCAGGGGTTTTGATAATATATTTTTACGCACAAAAAGTAACAATTATAGTCTAACTACTTGTTCTAAAGAGTTAAAATCGATATAAAAAACGTGTCCTCGATTTGAACACGTGACATTGCAGTTGGTTTCGTTTTGGCTTCAACCCTTCAACTACAAGCGAAACGGCGGTGTAACAACAGGGGAGGTGGTGGTGCGGGGGGGGGGGGGGGGGGGGGGGAGGGGGTCCGCCGTTTTTCATTCACCCTCCTAAGAATTTACAGCGTTCCCTGATGGCCGCCATATTAAAAGTTTATAGACCGACACGCGGAGCGGCTCTGTTTACCAACACGGCCGGAAGGCCGCGCATGCGCGGTAGCTATGTGGGCAAAAGCGACCCGGCCCTCCGTGTTTTCGCCATTGCGTTGTGTGGCGTGCGCTCATTGTTGACGTTTTAGGGACGCTTCTAGCTTTATTTGTGAGTCGTATTTCCTGGCAACGTATGTCGTATGCTATGCCCGACTATTTGAGCTCGCTACCCGAGCCTGAACGGCGGCGGTATCGAAACAAACTATGCGTGGACGGCGTTGCCTAAGAGGATCCGTACGCCCTAAACAAGGCCTGCTGGACTTCCGACGTGAAGTTGCTGCCATCGAAGTCGACGGCTCACGTCGTCGTTTATTTAGTTTTTTCGCCAAGCCAGTTCACGGCCGTCACAGAGCGGGCGTACAAGTCTCTCGAGGCCTACGATTATTTCGAGTCGGTTTCCGCACTGCCGCGGGATCAGCAGACTGTGGGTCTGCGGAAGTGTGTGTATTTATTAATTGATTAAATACACACAGCGTCTTCAAGTCAAGGTATGCTATTTTTCCAACTATCATGACCACAAGGCATGACAAGCAGTAAGGCTTTGTCCGTTCTGCAGTCTTGGCGGTAACACGTTACAAGTAACAGCGTTACCAGGAACGTGTTACTTTTTCAGTAACGTAGTAACCTACTCGTTACTTTTTCGACAGAGTAACGCGTAACGTACTTACGTTACTATTTCAAGTAACGTAGTTACGTTACTCGTTACTACAATTACACTTCAAGTGTTTCCGTGTTTTAGGTGTCAAGCCATGTTTCTCTGTGCGTTTTTTCTCGTCAGTATTTAGGTGAAACCGTAAAAAGGGATAAAGTAATTATGTTCTGTTTCTGCATGAACATAAGGTTTTTTGATATATGAGCTTATGCATACCTGTATCGTCAAAACCGTAAAACGTGTTAAAGTCATAATTTTAAAAATAACGCAGAAGTAACGTGCGTTACTTTTTATGGGTAGCGGTAACGCGTTCCTTTTATTTTTAGGCAACGTAGCTCAGTAACACGTACCTTTAATTTGCAAGTAACGAGTAACGTATTTTGTTACTTTTTTTTTGGTAACGCCTACAACACTGCCGTTCTGTCGCCGATCCCCTTCTGCTGGGTAGCCCGGGCGAAGCGAGCCTCCGACGGAGCGCTTGACCGGTGCTTTGTGCGCGAACACCGTGGGAACAAAATCCGGGTGGTCTCATCAGAGGACGGTTTCACTGTACATAAGCGAGCCTCGGGACGGAGATTGAAATAGAAGCCGCACTTGCCTCCAAGAAAGTGCTTGCCGCACAAACGCGCGAGGCGTCCATAATTTTCGATCCACGGATATTATCCACCTTCTATGCCTTTCAGAGTCTGCCGGGAACTTGTAGAACCTCACTCCGCTACTTTTCTTGTACATTTCGGTGAGATTAACGGCAACACAGCTTCGCGGCATGCTGAAATACTATGACGCCCACGCGAAACGTGCGCCCTTTTGCCCACACCCCTCGGCTCCGGCGCGATCGCAGCGCCGCCGCAGTGCCGTGACGTCAAGCCCGCGTGTCGGTGTATACCAGTGTTGCTGCATCTGTAGGTCATCTATAAGTTAGAGCTGACAGAAGAAATCTGGCCACGGCGAAACGCCGATGCACGCCGGAAGCTACAGCCGGTTTTGTTTTCATTGTTTTTGTTTGGTTGGAAAAAATATGGCAACAACGAACGTTTAACAAGGCGCCGGTATTGTTTTAGGTTGAAGGGACACCAGAAGCTCCGCGGTTTGCGATCACATGTGGCGAAGACGTCACCGGAGAAGTGCCCCTGTGATGTTGCCGAAAGGCGGAAAGTATCATTCGTAATCGTAGTGTGTGCTTTGAAAGCGAAGGTAGTCACAGGGTCCACGAGTGCACAACCACAAGCCAACGTTCACGACAGCGCTGCGTTGACTTCGGCGATCTCGTTCTGTTTGGTGCAGCACGGCGATGCGACAAAGAGCTGAAACGATCATGCTGCGGTGCTCGGAGGTAGAAACCCACACCAACACGGAGCTAAAATTAGCTGTTGTGGGGTTGAGGGTTAACGGGTTCAGTCCCGTCGTCGTCAGCTGATCCGGTCCAGCCGGTCCAAGAGGACGCAGCGAGCATATTTTAGAAGTAAATCTTCCTTTGTTCTGTTTCAAAATGTCGAAGATTTCCGACGCATATCGTGAGTAAAAAGCTGCGGGCGTTTTCAACAAAATTACATCGTTTTAATTGAACAATGGACTCCGGATTGTTTTCCTAGATCTGCCGTTTTTATGCCTCGTGTGGTGGACTGCGTTTGCACAGCGACGTGTTGCACAGCGACGCACACCGCTCGAGTAGATGATTTGGTCCTGCAAACGACCGGTTAAACAGAATTTCAGGGAAACTTAAGTCACCACCGATATTTTCCTGTAAATCTCCTGTGAGTTTTTTGCACTCATTGAATGAAAATCGATGTCCCCCTTTTCATCATTAGTTTTCATCTTTACGTCTAAATTCTTTAGACGTAAAGAAAAAAAAACTGAGTTGAGGCATTGGGCATGACGTTTCACTATGCTCAGTTCCACAGCGCAACCGTTTTTCTTTATTAAAGTTTAAAAAAAAAATTAATTATCGCCATTCGCCGAGCACGCTCCTCAGATTGCAACAATTGGGCACACCTAAGTGCTTTGCAGTAAATCATACGCTCCAGATTTTTGAGTGTAGGGGATATCAATTCGTGAAACAGAAAGTTTGGGCCGAAGTTCACGGAACGCGCCGATTGGACTATCCCGACGGTGACTTGGCACTTTGTCACCGGCGTCCAATCGGCGTGCTCCGCGAACCTTCGAGTCCAAGTTTGCGTTGGGCGAGTTAAGGGCGCTCGCTCTGACGTGAGGTGAAACCGACTATAGAGCCGGTTGGGTATGGCTCAAATACTGAAGCGTAACATGGTACCCTCGTGATTTCTACGATAGAAGATTACTAGTTGTAAGTAGTTTATTCTATGTAATAGCTGCCCAACTCACCCAGTATAATGCCCGCGTTGTTGATCAGCACATCCAACCTAGGCTCTGTCGCGATGACGTCTTGGGCAAAGCTTCGCACCGACTCAAAGGAAGCGAGGTCCAAGTACTTGACGATCACGTCCACCTTGGTTTCGGCGAAAATCTCTCTCGCTGCCTGGTCGGCTTCTTTGAGGTCACAACAGGCGATGATGACGCGGGCCTTCCGTCGAGCCAGTTCCTTGGCGGTCGCTTTGCCCATTCCTGTGTAAGAAACAATACTTCTTCCGATAGCACGCCAGAAAAACACCTAACTTGGGACGAGCTTGGCAATCATAGGAAGCTAGCTTGGGCCCAGCATGGTTTTGTTCTAAGGCATTAGTTATTGTCAGAGTACGCTTCGTTGTTGTTTTTATGTTTTTTCTCTGGCTTGTCAGATGATTGCCAAAGTGCCAGACTTGAGCCATAGATGCCATGAATAAACGAAAACTCTGCATTGAAGCCAAAACTGGTAGCAAAGTCTAACTCTGGCACTTGTTTGGCGATTTATGCCCCAAAAATGCCGCAGGACAGCCAAACTACCAGCAGTGAAGCCTAACTTTGACACGTGTTTCGCGAAGTACGGCCAGATACCCAGACTCTGGCCAAGGAAGGTAAAGTTCGGCTCTACATTGGTGTTTGTGGGCTTTAAAAATCCTATAAATTTCCAGAAAAAACACAACAAAAAAAAAACCAAAGAACTGCGCTACCCGGGTCAATACACTGATCTAGGAATCAGTCAACAATAAAAATGGTCTCGATATTATTCATTTAGCTTATTTACGAATTTCGGGGGTATTCGTACTTGCCAACAGTGGGCTCACCCAGAAATGTGGGAAAGTAAAAAAGGTAAAAATATTTGAGAATTTCGCGTTTGAAAAAAGCAAACATGGATGCCGAAGATGTTTACGACTACGGTTCCCCGCAGACGACGCACTCATACCTGGTTATTGTTCTCTTAGTTGGGTTGCCTTAACACAAAATACATAAACATATTGTTTAGAGATAACAAGAAATTGACTAACGTTTTGGAATACATTTTTGCGGGATTGATTTTTTATACTCAAGTGTTAAAGACTGGTTACGAGACAGCGGTGCTTTTCTAAAGACAGGTTTTCATTTTTTCGTTTTTTTCAAAATGTGTATTGCATTTTAGAAGAAGCACCGTAGGTAGAACAAAATGATGCGCGATGCATAATGTAATAATTTCTGTTGGTTGCATCCCATAAGCAAAATTTTAATAATTTTTAAATCTACCAATAAATAATTTTGCATGTTTTCTTGCGTGAACAAATGCTATGATTGTTCCAAGCGTATCAGAGAAACCAATTAATCTCTACGTATGAGTAAGTTAGTGACCCGCCAAAAATTCTTAAAATTCTGCACATAGTTTAGAAGCGAGCAGTCACCACCCTTAGCGAAAACTAAGACGTTTGAAATATACCACATTATGATTTGGGTGTATTTGAATTACAGTTCATAATTGTAAGTATACAATAAATAGACCGAAAATATGCACTTCTTTTTTTTACTTAGTACTAAAATATATTTGTGAAAATCTTTTAAAAATACCTTTATTTAAACTACATTTGAAGTTCCCTTCATGCGTTTTGAAATATGTCAATACTAAAATGGTATGCCGAAAATACCCTTCACATAGATTTTTTAAAATGTGTATTTATTTCATACAAAATATGCTCCAACCCTAATAAAAATGCAGCGATGAAAACTATGTGCAGAATACTCTTAAAATACCTGGAAATCGTGTATACTGTTGAGTTATTCTCTATGTATCTTTTGAGTGCAATACTTTGGTAGTCTTACTTAAACTACCGGAGTATTGAAAAGCTCGCCTGTCAGAAGTTCACTTCAAGCAGATTTGTAGTACACTGAAGCGCCTAAACACAGCATTTGATTAGTTTGTGAATTGAGTTGCGCAGCATTGCACTATTAAATCAGCGCAGTTTGTTATCGCTTCCTTTTTTTCTATCAAGAACACACCTGCTGAGGTTCTTGCGCACCAATCCCAAACAGGGTTCGGGGACTACAACCACAACACTTGCTGATACTGGAAAGCTTCAGCAAGTGTTGTGAGCAGATATGTTTGGCGTGTAATTGTGTTAGCGTAATGTTAGTTCACTGAATGCGTATACTCACCATTGTACGTGATGTGAGCAATGACTTAATATAGTGACGTTAATGACCATATTAAATAGTCAACTAGTAAAGAAAAGCAAAATAACTATGTTAAAGTGAAGAAACTAGCTTCACTCGCCTCATCCTGGGTGGTTCTACGCAGAGAAGGTTTTTATGGATATTGTTTTAGCGACTGCGCCGAATTATTATTTGCTGTATTAATGCTTGTAGTAAGAGATATCGTCCACGAACTTCAAAACACTGTTTCCCCTTTGACAGACTACCGAGGAGAATATCGAATACTTGGAACCTTAATAAGTGGAGGGCTGGTCACTGGCCAGATGATTACCTTCAATATGTAGGCAAAGCTCTATCAACGGGACTGTCATTCAGGTGTTCAGTGCGTCGTGGTGTTTGTGTTCGTTTCTAATGGTTATTTTTGGGATGTATTTAGTAGTGCCTTCAAATACCGCAAGGACATATTTACTAACAAAATCCCCCAAAAAATGTGTAGGGTGTAGCTGTGTAGCTATATGAATATTCATTTTGTATTCATTCTGTATTATTTTGTCCCTATTCGAAATATGTGCGAAAGGTATTCAAAATATATCATAAATATTAATCAGAAAACAATTTAGATATACCGAAAATATAATTCCTTGCCCCTCAAAATGCCATTTGTGCACTCAAAATAATACAGAACGAATACAAAATGGATATACGTATTCAATATATTTCAAGTTCGTTTCAAGTACTGCCTCTTTTCGCTAAGGGCATGCTCTAAAACAGCGTTACCAATATAAACTTAAATTTAGCTAATCTTTTTTTTTAGCGATTGAAGGCAAAATTTAAGCGACCTGAACTTCATGCCATTGATAAAGAAAGATATCGTTTGAATAAAAAATATCCATGAGGCAAAACACGACAATCAATGTGACGTCCTATAAGACGCGTCTGCTTAACTTGCAAATATCCTAGTGTCTTTGAACTATATTCTTTTTCCCTCATTCTCTAGGACGGAAATATATGCAATGAAAACAAACATGTAAGTGCCATCCCAAAGTGACTCAAAAGAAAAAAAAACTTCTATATGTCGAGCAACAGCTTCACTCCAATCACATTGCTGCCGCAGTTTTCGGCGTTCAAAAGAAGGAACTGCAAAAGCGTGTCAGGTACACAGAATGTAAAGGGCGTGGACTGTATAAAACGATCTAATAAAAAAAGACGTATTATTTCTTGTGAACAAGGAACAACGTATATATTGCCTATCTTGAACATAAAAATATATCTCTTGAATCACACTTAGAGAAAGGAACAAATGCTGATTTTTAACTATCATGATCCCAAAATGCCAGGAATAAGAAGGGCGCAGTGGAGAAAGTTGCTTTAACTTTCCGAATGCGTTTGACGAAAGAAGCGATAATTTTAAAGTCATAGGATTGACAAAATGTACCGTTGTTAATGCTGCGACGCACATGTGTCAAAAACACAAAAGCGGTATAAAAAGATTTCTCGTACATAATATATTGATCAATTGATTGCTCTGTAACAAAACAAATTCCTACTGTTTTGATTACGGACTGCCTTGAAATGTCAGTCTTTTATTTTTTCACTGTCAGCAGATTACAATCTATGGCTTCATGATCATTTAACAACGCTGTTTTTACTAAAAAGAAAAATACATATATTGCCGCGCGCGCAGCTGGCCAAGCAGGCAGCGCGCTCGTGGCCGAACGGTTATCGCGCATGCTTCCCACGCTGAAAGCCAGGGTTCGATTCCTGGCCGCGGAGGCGCATTTTTGTTGACACTGTAATGTAAGGTTCTGGTGAATTCGAGAACCGTCTAGCTGATTCGAGGTCAGAATGTTCTACGCGTCGAACCTTCTACGTCGAATGCTCCAGAAGCCAACGTGTGTACAAAAGCGGCTCCGCGGGCAAGCCCGAGTCAGTTTTCGCCCCAGCGTTCGACTGTGCTGCTACGCCGACTTCGACGCCGACGAAAAGTATTACTGGCCGAAGCTCCCCAAGACCGTCCACCTATACACACGATCATGCCACGAGTGCCAGCGACGCAAGAAACCGCCGACGAGGACGGCCGGACTTTCTGCAGCCCATCTCTCCTCCAACTACACCATTCCAGCAGATCGGAATGGATCTACTTGGTCCTTTCCTACTTGGTCCTTTCCCACCTTCGACGTCGGGGAACCGCTGGATCATCGTCGCCACAGATTATCTCACGCGGTACGCCGAAACGAAAGCTCTTCCTTCAGGGACTGCTGTGGAAGTCGCCAAGTTTTTCATTGAGTCCATCGTCCTCCGGCACGGCGCTCCCGAGTTCTGATTACAGATCGCGGATCTTCGTTCATGGCCCAGCTGACGCAAGAGATTCTTCGTCCCAGTGGCACCGGCCATCGTCGAACCACTGCATACCACCCGCAGACCAACGGGCTGACCGAGCGACTCAACAAGACAATCGCCGATATGATCTCTATGTACGTCGACGTAGAGCACAAGACGTGGGACGAGGTGTTGCCCTACGTCACGTTCGCCTACAATACGGCGGTTCAGGAGACCACTGGATTCACCCCTTTCCAGCTGGTACATGGTCGGAAGGTAACGACCATGCTGGACGCAATGCTCCCCATGAGCCATCTGACAATGAGAGCGACGACGCTCAGGCGGTTGCTCAACGCGCCGAAGAAGTCCGCCAGCTCGCCCGACTCATGATTGAAGACCAGCAACGCGTCGACGCCGGCCGCTACAACCTTCGTCGCAGGGGCGTCCACTTCCAGCCCGGAGATAGGGTGTGGGTATGGACGCCCATCCGTCGCCGCGGCCTCAGTGAGAAATTGCTGACACGATACTTTGGACCCTACAAAGTGCTTCGTCGACTCGGGGATCTGAACTACGAAGTGATGCCCGACGGAACGCGGACTTCGTCACGCCGCCCTCCACGTCTGGAAGTCGTCCACGTCGTGCGACTGAAGCCGTACTACGCTCGATAGGACTGTGGACCTTATGTGTTCCAAATGACTCTTTAGTTTACCGTTATTTTGATTTGTTTTGTTTTCGGATTGCATCGGGACGATGCACTTTTTAAAGGGGGGAGTAATGCCGCGCGCGCAGCTGGCCAAGCAGGCAGCGCGCTCGTGGCCGAACGGTTATCGCGCTTGCTTCCCACGCTGAAAGCCAGGGTTCGATTCCTGGCCGCGGAGGCGCATTTTTGTTGACACTTTAATGTAAGGTTCTGGTGAATTCGAGAACCGTCTAGCTGATTCGAGGTCAGAATGTTCTACGCGTCGAACCTTCTACGTCGAATGCTCCAGAAGCCAACGTGTGTACAAAAGCGGCTCCGCGGGCAAGCCGGAGTCAGTTTTCGCCCCAGCGTTCGACTGTGCTGCTACGCCGACTTCGACGCCGACGAAAAGTATTACTGGCCGAAGCTCCCCAAGACCGTCCACCTATACACACGATCATGCCACGAGTGCCAGCGACGCAAGAAACCGCCGACGAGGCCGGCCGGACTTCTGCAGCCCATCTCTCCTCCAACTACACCATTCCAGCAGATCGGAATGGATCTACTTGGTCCTTTCCCACCTTCGACGTCGGGGAACCGCTGGATCATCGTCGCCACAGATTATCTCACGCGGTACGCCGAAACGAAAGCTCTTCCTTCAGGGACTGCTGTGGAAGTCGCCAAGTTTTTCATTGAGTCCATCGTCCTCCGGCACGGCGCTCCCGAGTTCTGATTACAGATCGCGGATCTTCGTTCATGGCCCAGCTGACGCAAGAGATTCTTCGTCCCAGTGGCACCGGCCATCGTCGAACCACTGCATACCACCCGCAGACCAACGGGCTGACCGAGCGACTCAACAAGACAATCGCCGATATGATCTCTATGTACGTCGACGTAGAGCACAAGACGTGGGACGAGGTGTTGCCCTACGTCACGTTCGCCTACAATACGGCGGTTCAGGAGACCACTGGATTCACCCCTTTCCAGCTGGTACATGGTCGGAAGGTAACGACCATGCTGGACGCAATGCTGCCCCATGAGCCATCTGACAATGAGAGCGACGACGCTCAGGCGGTTGCTCAACGCGCCGAAGAAGTCCGCCAGCTCGCCCGACTCATGATTGAAGACCAGCAACGCGTCGACGCCGGCCGCTACAACCTTCGTCGCAGGGGCGTCCACTTCCAGCCCGGAGATAGGGTGTGGGTATGGACGCCCATCCGTCGCCGCGGCCTCAGTGAGAAATTGCTGACACGATACTTTGGACCCTACAAAGTGCTTCGTCGACTCGGGGATCTGAACTACGAAGTGATGCCCGACGGAACGCGGACTTCGTCACGCCGCCCTCCACGTCTGGAAGTCGTCCACGTCGTGCGACTGAAGCCGTACTACGCTCGATAGGACTGTGGACCTTATGTGTTCCAAATGACTCTTTAGTTTACCGTTATTTTGATTTGTTTTGTTTTCGGATTGCATCGGGACGATGCACTTTTTAAAGGGGGGAGTAATGTCGCGCGCGCAGCTGGCCAAGCAGGCAGCGCGCTCGTGGCCGAACGGTTATCGCGCTTGCTTCCCACGCTGAAAGCCAGGGTTCGATTCCTGGCCGCGGAGGCGCATTTTTGTTGACACTGTAATGTAAGGTTCGGGTGAATTCGAGAACCGTCTAGCTGATTCGAGGTCAGAATGTTCTATGCGTCGAACCTTCTACGTCGAATGCTCCAGAAGCCAACGTGTGTACAAAAGCGGCTCCGCGGGCAAGCCGGAGTCAGTTTTCGCCCCAGCGTTCGACTGTGCTGCTACGCCGACTTCGACGCCCGCGACGCTCTGTTATTATCTTTGTACCCTTTTGTTTTTCGGCACAAGTTCGCCACATTAAACGTTTATTTCTCCCTGTTTATTTCCTGTTTTCTTTTGGTCACCACCCGTGACAATATATATATATATATATATATATGTATATATATATATATATATATATATATATATATATATATCAGACGATAGGTAAGGAATTACTGTAATAAATACAAAGGCGCATTCCAGCTGACCGGATTAAATGTCCCCCTTTTTGTCCTTTTTTTTCCCCATCTCCATGGATTACCAGCGTTTATGCTACGCTTGAAACATGTTATGGATGCGCAAGAAGAACTGCTAGTACTAAAAAAAAGTGATAGAAGTACAGCTAGAATTACACTGCGAAAAACTATATTTCTTCTTAATATGTTCAGCAATATTAGCTTATTAACAGACATTTATTACGTCAACATCTATCACATTTCTTTTTATTCGTATTTACCTCTCAAAGTTGCTTCTGATCCGCAAGATTTACTCCTACTTGATCTATCCTTTCATCTTTCAGGCTCTCCCGGCCGCGTATTCGGAGAAGCTTGTGGAGTTAACGGGCCTTTTTCGGCCTCCTGATCGGACCGTTTTCATGGACGCCACATCGCCTGGTTTACGGGTGGACGGAAAGGAGAGAGGGGGGAGGGAGAGAGGCCTAGAAAACACGCCTTAGTTATTCCCTCGCTAGCCTTTAGCCGGCTAACATATTTGAATACGCTTATCGCGTAAGCAAAACTGGGAGGTTGCTAAAGGCTAACGCGCGAATGACTGAGGTGTGTTTGGCTAAGTCTCGCCCTCCACCACACTTCTCTCTCTCTCTCTCTCCAACCTTAAACCAGGTGATGTGACGTCCACAAGAATGCTCCAACCAGGAGGCCAAGAAAAACCGGATAACTTACTTCACAAGCTTTTCCGAATACACCTCACGGCTTGCTCGACTTAACACCTTCTGAATAGCAACGCTGTAAAGCTGCAGTTTTCACGTCGCCCACAGGCAGTGTTGTAGGCGTTATCAAAAAAAATTAACTTAATACGTTACCCGCATTTTGTAAAAGAAAGTAACGCGTTACCCATCTACGTTACCTCAAAATAACCGTTAGAATTAAAAAGCACATTACTTTGGCGTTACCCTGTCTTCCGAAATTGACGGTAACAAACAGTTTCTCGGCTACAGCGTTTTTCGAAACTGGGACAAAGGGCGTGGGCTTTAGGGATTTTCTAAAGCGGGACTCGATAGTGGAAACGATGGGGCGTTGTGGAGGCAAGTGAAGCAAAGACCTATCTTACGATTGTGCAGTCTTCATTAGAAGCAAGAATTTCGGTTTGCTTCTTCAACTCCTCCTGACGCCAATCTTTCCAATTTTGGATAAATCCGGGACAGCGTTGATCGCGCAAGCCTGCTTATCACACAGTCATCAAGAAGAGGTAAAGACGAATAAATACGCAAAAGAGTCAAAAATGGGATGAACAACCTATGAGAGATGTGTTGCAAACAGTAATGAAGAGATTAGGGAAAGCCACTTGATTTATAAGTTTCGGAAATAAATGTATTATCAACGACCTGAACCCTTTATTGCGCAAGCCAATCCTTGTGCAGACACGGGAATGGTTCCAGCAGCCGCGCGATGCCAGAAAGCGGCTGCTGGAGCAAACCCAGCATGCACCACGACCCCCCTCTCTCCACCGACCGAGCGGCCTCGGACCTGCAGCTCATGGGAAAAAGCGTTCGGTCGCCATGGTTTCCTCAATCTCGCGGATTGAGCGTGCCCGCGTCAACGAGGGAAGACACCTGGACGTCTCAAGGTCGTTGTGGCGCTCGCAGCTAGCCGCTCATTTCGCGCTTTTTGAGGATTATCCCTACAGAAAAAGCCGACACAAAAGACGCCCTTGCCGTCACGTGATTTTTGGGAGTGGGTGAAAAGAGGAGGGTGCGAGGGGTATTTTCTTACCTTGTGGAAAATGGTTTCGTTGGCCGGTCTTTAGGAGGGGTTTCTTTTGCTTCCTACGTCTTTTGACGCAAATTCATTATTGTGCGTCTTAAGGGGTGTCCGAACAGGACACCACAAAAATCGTCGGGCGACACTACTTCTGCAAAAATCGTGAAAATTGAAGCGAACGCTTCACTTTTGACGATTCTGGCCGGAGTCGTGTGGCCCGACGATTTTTGTAGTGTCCACTTTGGACACCCCTTAAAGGGGCACTGACACATCAAAATCATATTTTTTTTTATTATCCCAAATAATTGAAAACGATGCCGGGAAATTACCCTTGAAATTTGAAATTTGGGAATTCAGTATTTGTGAAGTAAAAAAACAATTTCGAAATGTCGACTTCGAAGTTCCCGCGCGATCCGCGCCGGTGCGTTGACGTCAAATATTGCGGATCCTGAGAACCCACTTTCTTTCACGACTCCCTGCTGTTGCCATGGCGACCTAAAGCGAGGAGGAAAGGAGCGAGCGGAGCGAGCGCCGGCGGACCGGTTTTGAGCGGTGTCGCCTGTTTTCCGTTGGAGGATACAAATCCAGGAGACGGCATCACAACGAACTCCCGATTTTTGGTATTTCAAAAAGAAGGGCCGTAGTGCGTTCGCAATTACGTTAAAAAACATGTTTTACGATTGGCGTTATTAAATGTTATAAAAATGTCGCCTACAAAGCTTCTAAATTTCATGATTCTTGACGTCACGAATCAAAAGAAGCGAGGAGGCGAGAGGCGGGAGAATCAAACGCCAAAAATAAAAAGGCGCGCGCGTGAAACTTTTTTTTCGCGATGCGTTTTTTTTGCATGTCTATGACTGCAACTTGCATCTTTGTAGAGAATGAAAAAAAATACGACCTTTGGGGTGTCAGTGCCCTTTTCAGAGAAACTAGCATAACGGGGTACCTTATGTCGTGTCATTCACGAGGCGGTCTAGGATCCATAAAAGTAAAGCGAAGTGCAAGCGCACATATTGTAGAAAGTATATCTGGGAAAATACGAGATACAAGTGAAAAAAAATGACGAACATCAAAAACCAAACTACGTACCCATTTACGCACAGTTGCAAACAGTGACGTGCGCATAATGCGACGCAGCTTACCTGAACTGCCCCCAGTCACGACGACGGTCTTTCCTGCCATGATTGTTTCCGTTGTGCACACTCCTTTCCGAAGAAAGAGCGAGTAGACGCACAGTGCGCCGGCGGCAATCCGAAAGACAAGCTTTGCAAGAGTCATCCAGAGCAGCTGAGGTAAATCCCATATCCGAGAGGCATTCCGTTCTTTCATGGTGCTTCTTTTCAGATTCGGTCAAGAAGCTGGTTATATATTCCGGTTTTCGATACGTGAAGTTCGCAGCGTTCAATCCGGCCAATGTTCCCCCTTGCCTGCGACAGGATGAAAATTAATTATGAGTGCAATTTAGTAATGCTCGTATATAAGTAAATACGAGAGTAAGTGTTTTACATTTTTTTACGTGTTTGCTCTTCTCGCTCTGCGCGCCCGGTGCTAAAGGCGACTGCATTTTTAGAGCGCAGCTCTTAGGCGCCCGTTCCCGGCTTGAGCGGCGTCGGCGTCGCCGTCGCCGTCGGGGTAACCAAGGTCACCCCAAGGTCACCCCAAGGTCACGTGACCCCGCAAGATAATCCCAAGGTCACGTGACTCTTCCAGGTCATGTGACCCCCCAAGATCGCGTGACCCCCCGAGGTCACGTGACCCCTCCCAAGGTCACGTGATCATCAAGGTCACCACCAAGGTCACGTGACACCCTTAGATCACGTGATCCCCCAAGGTCACGTGACCTCCGAGGTCACGTGGCCCCCTCCCCGAGGTAACGTGACCCCCCTCCCCCCCCGAAGTCAGGTGACCCCCCGGAGCATATTAAAGAATGAGGGGAGGAGGAGGAGAAGGAGAGGTCTACCCTCCCCTCAGTACCCTTCCCTCCTCCTCCTCAAGAGCTGCACTCCAATTCGGCGTTAACGGCTTTCACTTTTAGAGCGCAGCTCTTAGGCGCCCGTTTCCAGCTTGAGCGGCGTCGGCGTCGCCGTCGCCGTTGGCGTAGCCGCGCGGTGCATTATGGGTAAATTTCCCCGCTAAATCTTGCGGAAAAATTTCCCCGCTAAATCTAGCAGAAAAATTTCCCCGCTAGATCTAGCGAAAAAAATTCCCCGCTAAATTTAGCGTAAAATTAGGGAGTTTTCGTAGACCGCGCTGCCCCCTCCGCTAAGCGTTCCGCAACGAAGAAGTCGCTACTGCGCCTGCGCGCCGATAGCCTTGACTGTGGAGTTCCCGCTATCGTAGCGGGTTGCGGAGGGCCTTGCGGGACGGCAAAAACGATCTACGAAAACTCCCTAATTTCCCTGCTAAATCCAGCGGAAAACATTCCCCACTAAATCTAGCGGAAAAAATTCCCCACTAAATTTAGCTGAAAAATTTCCGTGCTAAATCTAGCGGAAAAATTCCCCCTCTAAATCTAGCGGAAAAAATTTCCCCGCTTAATCGAGCGGAAAATTTTCCCCGCTAAATCTTGCGGAAAAATTTCTCTGGGGGGGCATGTGACCCCACCAAGGTCACGTGACCGCACCCCAGGTTACGGGACCAACCCCCCCCCCCCCCCCCCCGAGAACACGTGCACCTCAGTACCCTTCCCTCCTCCTCCTCAAGAGCTGCGCTCTGATTCGGCGTTTCAGGGAGTTGTAAACGGCTTTCATTTTTTAAGCTCTGTTAGCTAAGTGAACTATGTGCTCGTTTTTCTTCAAACCAGATTCAACTAATAAAAATGTCTAAAAAGCAGGAACAAAACGAAGACAGAAAATTCAGAAAGAGAACCTTTCAATTAATATGGAACAACCAGCCTAAAAACGAGTTTTATAGTAGCTTAAGACTACATTCCTAAATGCTGTCAGATTATGATGCGAATAAAAAGTTCACGGTTTCTAGTCAAAAGAACACAAAATATCAGATGTGCAAACACCTTTTAGATTGATCAGACAATCGTAAGGCCCATTATAACGGCCCAGGGGTCCGAATTTAGGCGAGGGCGAGAGCGTTCTCGGCTGCTGATTAAACGTGACGCCACAATGTGCGCGTAATCAACCAATGATGTACTGGGTTTCCTAGGGATCGGACAGGCTCCTTAAATCGACCGCGAAATTCGGTTTCTTAACCTATCGCGCTACGACTTTGTGCAGCGTTGCCCACAGATGGTACGTTTTTTTTGTGTAAAACTTGCAAAGAGCGATTTTACATGAGGAAAAAGTAAAGAAAGAAAAAGGCTGAGCTCTTATGGAAACGCTGCGAAGCCACCGGTCTTGAAACAATACGGCGGCGTATCGCACGGGAGACAAGAGATGACGCAAGCGGTCGCGACGCCAACTGCCGCCAACGAACGAGCAGACGACGCCGAGAGCCGGCGGCCTTAGCAGACGTATTTTCCACTCCAAAGCGGCGCGCGTCCCTCAGCGGCGACAGTCGCAGAACCAAAAACAGGCGCGGTAACAACATGGAACTGCAAAGCAGACGACACCAGTATCGCGAAAGAAAAGTAAAAATATCCCGGCAAACCATTTTTTAATTCCATTATGTGTCCAATCAATGTGCTTTATTAGTAAATATAATAAAATAATTCATTGGCAACTGATAGAAAAGCTCGCGCCGCTTTTGAGTCGAAAAGATCGAGTGCTAAAGACGCCGGCTCTCGGCGCCGTATGCTCGTTCGTTATCGGCAGTTGGCGTCGCGACTGCTTGCACCATCTCTTGTACGTCTACTTTGTGAGCATGGGCATCTGCCTTGCTGCCTATCGTGCTCGCATTGGACGTTTTTTTCGATCTCGTTCCACTAAAGGACGTCATCGATTGTTGTTACCTACTCTGAACTTGTCTTTGCCAAAGTTCCGCCTGGTATTCGTCTCAGTGTGCGTTTGCGCTCTACTGATTCTTGCGGGTGATGTCGAGACTAATCCTGGACCTAAAACCAATTCCACGCAGCTCGAAAGGCTCCAGACCACTCTAGACAGGCTTCTGCAGAAAACCGAAAGCTATCAGAAAGAAAATACGGACAAATTAAATGCTATTCAGTCCGGCATTTCGAGCCTAAGAGGAAGGGTGACGGAACTTGAAAAAAAAGTGGACGCTCAATCGAGCTGCCATAAGGACGTGATTTCAATGAAACAGGATATAAGCTCACTGGAAAGCAATTTACGGAAATTATATCTAACCTGTGATAATGTTGACGCGGTAGCGCGGCACGTAGATGCTCTGGATAATCGCTCTCGACGAAATAATCTTATCTTCAAAAGAATTCCGGAGGAGCACGGTGAGACTTGGAACCGTACTGAACAGATAGTGATAGACTTTGTTAAAACTTACCTAAACGTTGACCCGGGTGAAATTGAAAGGGCACATCGTATAGGTAGGAAACGTAACAGGTTTCAGCGTATGATTGTTGTTAAGTTCCAAAGTTTTAAGAACAAACAAGAAGTGCTTAGTAAGGCCCCGGCCTTAAGGAATGTTCCATCCTTAAAAGTATGGATTGACGAAGATTTCTCGCCACATATTCAGGAGGCTCGTAGGAAACTCGGAGAATTTGGAAAACCGCATCGTGATGCGCAAAAAAATGTTCGATTTGATTTCGACAAACTGTTCATCGACGACAAAGTGTTTGTTTACGACTCCACTTTGAACCAGGTAGTTGAATTGCAAAACGCTCCCTACAACCCTGAGCTTCCAATCTCTCAAGAACGAGAATGACGGTCTACCACAGAAAGTGAGGTCAATCAGTTAACTTTCCTTGTTGCTAATTTTAGAAGCTTCTTGTCAAAACAAGATGAGTTGAGTAGCACTATTGAAGTATGCCACCCCCGCGTCATTTTGGGAAGCGAAACATGGCTAGTAGTATACCTAATGAAGAACTTTTAATTCAGAGTGATTTTACCATCCATAGAAAAGATCGTTCATTGCCTAGGGGAGGTGGTGTTCTTGTTGCAATCCAAAAGTGTTTCTCCTCGGTAGTTGTGGAGCTAGATGCCGATATTGAGGTATGCTTTGTCAAAGTTAAATGAGCATTTTCTCATTTCTTAGTTGGAGTTTGTTATAGGCCTCCAGACTCGCAAGCTGTGTTTCTCCAGGAATTGTATAAAATTTTGAATTTTGTTACACTACGTTACCCGCAGTGTCCTGTATTTCTTGGTGGGGATTTCAATTATCCCGAGATTGACTGGATTGATTGTGTGCCTGAGAGTAGTTGCAGAAGTTCTTCGCAGTGTAGGGACTTCAGTGATATTTGTAAATCTTGCTCTCTTGACCAGGTTGTGTTGATGCCAACGCGAAACAATATGATTCTGGATTTATTCTTTACGTCTATTCCGGAGTTAATTCTACCTGTAAATGCTATTGACGCTATCAGTGATCACCGAATGGTGGTGATCGACGCTAACATTGCTGTTCACAAAAAGTGTTGCGAACATAAAGTCATCATTGATTATGCTAGGGCAAACCTACCGGAGATTACTTCGGCACTCGAGTCATTCCTTATCGAATTTCAGGGTTCTTTTAGTCTCATATCAGTTGAAGATAACTGGACTCTAATCAAGGACAGGCCTTTAGAACTTATGCATCTATTTGTGCCTAAAATCAAAATAGCATCCAATACACAAAAGCCATGGTTCTCGAGGTATCTAAAAGGCCTCCTTAACACCAAAAAACGACTTTTTTTAAGTGCAAAGAAGCATAATAGTACGACCTCTTGGGACAAATATTTAAACCATTCTAAACTCTGTAAGCAGGCAATTGAAGATGTCAAACAACGATTCTTTGGTGGCACTCTTAAACAACTACTAAGTTCAAATCCTAAAAAAATTTGGAAAATCATTAGCCCCCCGAAAAGTCAAAATGCCCCGAGCGGTCTTTCTGACATCCATGGGGATACGTTGTCCGATTTAGAAAGTGCGATTACTTTTAATCAATTCTTTGGAGGGGTTTTCACTGATGAGTCATTTCCTTTACCTGCCTGTAATAACATTTATAATAATTCTTTCCTTGATCACATCTTTGTTGATTCTGATGGGATAAGGCAGCTTATCCTCAACCTTTCCAATTCAACTAGCCCGGGTAGTGACGGAATTACGTCTAAACTGCTCAAACTCGCGCTGCCGGTCTCGAGTATTCTTCTGCAACTTTTATTTCAACAAAGTCTGGACCAAGGATACTTACCTAAGGACTGGAAACATGCAAAAGTTACCCCTATTTTTAAATCCGGTGATGCTACGTCCGCCAATAACTGCCGTCCCATT